AAGCGCGCTGACAAAACCGCGGCGCTAAAACCGCGATGTCAAAAGTGCACCGACAACAGCGCGCCGACAAAAGCGCGCCGACAGAAGCGCGATTTAAGTTAAGGTAAGGTTTAGGGTTAGGTTTAGGGTTAGGTTTAGGGTTTGGTTTAGGGTTTGGTTTAGGGTTAGGGTTACAGCGCGCTTCTGTCGGTGCGCTGTTGTTGGCGTGCTTCAGCGCTCATTCGTCGGCACGGTTTTGTCACCGCAGTTTAGTCAGGTGCGCTTTTGTCGTTCACGCATTTGTGGTGGAACCTTCTTGAACATCTACATATTGGGCTCCCTTGGCATTTCAGTTGATGTTTCTGAATCCACCAGCCAGCATTTTGGTTTCTGCTCAATAGGTTGTCAGGAGCTCAAGACTGCATCAATTCAGAATCTGTGTTTTGGGGAAAGTTCAACTGAGGGAAGTTTGTGTTGGCTTTTGACATATCCTGGTAGCTACAAAAATGGCAAAAGATACTATTTGATGAAAGAAAATATGAGAAACAAGGATTTGTTCATGGAGAGGAGGATAAACCTAGGCAATATCACGGTATCTCAAGTTTATAGTCATGGAAAATGGTGTGCATTTTGTGGAAATAATTTTTCTAGCCATTTTTTTAGCTGTTTGGTTGCAGAATGTGAAATATTAATTGGAAACCTGCTCTGCTACAGAATATGTCCTTTACTTATTAATTTCTAGGACTGTCACTTTGATTTTCTGCTTGCTACCAGGAGACACAGTGAATTCAGTGGAAAAGGCATCTGAGCACCAAATTAGTAAATTGGTGTTTGTTATCAGTGTTTTCCTTAATCTGTTTTTTTTAAAGATGTTCAAATGGATTTTGTTACTTAGTCTGTCATGTAATGAGTACACATTTCCTGATATGTACTGATATTGAGTGATAAGTGAGTGCATTGATTGTTACCCCAGTCATCACAAACTTTGTAATAGTTTGCACTTATTTCTATCAGACAAAAGTATTAGAGAGGGATTTTAATCCATAGGACTCTCTTAAAAAATAATACAATTGTTCATAAATTACAAATCTTAGCAAACACTGAGCTACCATATTTTTTTACAGATAATTCAAAAAGAGTGGTTTGTATTTCTTAAGATGCTAATACTTTGACACTAAGCATTTTTATTTATGAAAGGAAATGATATGGTAAAGATATTAGCAAATTCCTTCAAGAGTTTTATTGATGTCTGGGCAACAACCATATCTGAACATAATGAGTAAACATAATATGAAAGGTCAGTTAAGATACTTTTTTTTAAAGTATGCATTTGGGAACTTTGAAGTTACATGCTTTCCATTCTGTTTATTATGAGCTGATGTTATTGTATGGAAGACCAGAGCAATTGGCCAAAGAGAGATTGATGTGTATATAAACTTTAACAGCATATAAATTGTGTGCTAACCCTATTCAAAAGTTGTTGATCTGAATGAGGGTGCAGTATGAAATCAAACACTGTCTAATTTATAAATGTTGGATTCTATAGAGGAGAATTAGAATGAACTTGATGTTTCACCATAAATGTACACAATTACTTTAGGCTGGAGTTTGGGGTTTTTTTTTTTTTTGCCTTATGTCATGAGAATTCTGTGTTCACTCAGATGTTAGGCTGTTTTGCTTCTAAATGTGTATGCAATCATGTTTCTTGTGTGATGATTGTAAATATCGTTCTTATAATAGATAATCTTGAAGATATCTGATTTTTTTTATAAAAAAAAGCACTGGGGGAAACTTCTTCCAACTTTTGTTTAAAAAAATCCCTTTATCTGCTTAAATTGCCGTATTTAACTGGAATTAAAACTGTAAAAGCTATGGTACTTACTCTAGGTGTTTACTTGAAATTAAGCCCATCTAATGTTAGTGGGACATATATCTGGTTTGGAATGGATAATATGATATTCTATAAATATTTTTATAACAATTCAGTCGTTCAGTAAAAAGTTAGAATAACTGTCTTTGAAATGCACTAGGTCAATACACGAGTAAACATTTATTCTAATGATATTAACTCATCTTCTGATAAAAGCTCAAATCTATCAATTGTAGAAACAAAT